GACAGGGCACATAAGACGTCGTCGCGCCAGATTTTCGCGAACGCGGACCAGATGAAGGAGCAGGTCCAGCAGGCGATGGGACGACCAAGAGGGAAGAGGGAAGCGGGGAGGGGGAGTGTCGGAGAGGCGGGGATGGCGGAACGCATGTGAGTGGAGGGAGGAGGGGGAGGGATGTCCATGCTCATGCTCCTCCTCTTCCTCATCCTTCTCCTACTACTCCTACTCGTACTCGTTCTCGTACTCGTACCCCTACTCCTACTCCTACTCCTACTCCTACTCCTACTCCTACTGCTCCTCCTCACTTCGCTCTCCTCCTCCTCCTTCTCGTCCTCCTCCTCTTCCTCCTCCTCCTCCTTCTCCTCCCTTCTCTCTCCTCCATCCTCCATCCTCTCCTTATCCTGCCTCCCCCTGCTTCTTCATGCATCGCGGTTCCACTTCTATCGGCGCGATGCGCGAAGTTGGTTGGTTCATGATGACGGGAAGAGCAGGAGCAGGAGGAGGAGGAGGAGGAGGAGGAGGGAAAGCGTGCATGTCCAGCAGGCGATTTTGCAGCCAGACTACGACGTAAGGGACATGTACAGGACTGACGGTCACTTTCAGGCCATTGCGCGGAGCCCGATTTTCGACATCACAGGCCTGTCCCTGATTCTGCTGAACACGCTGTGGCTCGGACTGGAGACAGACCACAACGACGCGGCCCTGCTGGTTGACGCCGAACCTCAATTCATAATCGTGGAGAACTTCTTCTGCACCGTGTTCTGCCTGGAGCTGTTTATCAGATTCATGGCCTTCAGGTCAAAGGCCGACATAAAGAAGGACTCCTGGTTCATGTTCGACTCTGTGCTCGTCCTCTTCATGGCCCTCGAGACGTGGGTCGTCTCCATACTCGTTCTGGCCACCAACGGTGGCCTCAGCGCCAGTTCCGGCTCCGCATCGGTCCTCAAGGTGGTGCGGCTCTTCCGCATGACGCGCGCCGCGCGCGTCGCTCGCCTGCTCAAGGCGGTGCCGGAATTAATGGTGATCGGCCGCGGCATCGTGATCGTCGCCAGGACCGTGATCGTGATCATGTGCCTACTGTTCATGATCATCTATACGTTTGCGATCATCTTCACTCAGCTCGCCAAGGGCACCGACCTCGAGCACACTCTCTGTCCCGACATGCTGACCACGATGAGCACTCTGCTGCTCGGTGGCATCCTCCCAGACGTCGCGCCGACCACAAACGCCATGTCTGAGGAGGATTTCTTCTTCGGGCTATTTTTCTTTATATTTGTCTTGATGGCCTATGTAATGATAATGAACATGTTGATAGGCGTATTGGTGGAGGTTGTTGCAGTAGTCGCGTCGGTTGAGAAAGAAAAGAACCAGGTGGCGTCGGTAAAGCGCGTACTGCAGAAGTGGACCCCGCATGCGGACATTACTGGCGACAACTTACTGAGCGTTGACGAATTCAAGAACATGCTCAACACTGCGGGCTGCGCCAAGGATCTGAATGACGTGGGAGTGGACGCCATCGCGCTGATCGATCACGCAGACTTCGTCTATCGTGACAAAGATGAGCTCACATTCGCTGAATTGCTCTCCGTCGTGCTCGGGCTACGCGGCAGGAACGACCCCAAGGTACAAGACCTCGTGCAGCTGCGCAAGTTCCTGCAAGGGGAGATGCAGCGCATAGAGATGTCGTTGGAAAGCCTACATGTCTCCCTTAATTGCGGCATCATCGAGTCCCAGTCTCCCCAGGCAAAACAATCAGGAGTGCCAGTAAATTCGGTCCAGATTGCATGATACTGTCAGCGTGCGCTGTGCGGTTCGAGCTTGTGTTCAGCAGCTATGACAGCCTGGCCCCAACCCTGGATGAATATCTTCCAGTACCGTGTGGGCTAATTCCTCTCGCTTCGCGGGTGCACGTCTGGAATGTGTAATGTGCGTTTCGACCCTTCCGGGAGCCTTTCGCAGGGTCTCGGGGCCTCTTGGGGCCTTTTCGGGACATCTTGGGGCCTCTCGGGGGCTTCTTGGGGGCCTGTGGTGACGACTTGGGGGCGTCGTGGGCCGTCGTCGGGCGCTCTTCTGGCGCCTTCGGAGTCCGTCTTGGGGCCTTCTCTGGGTAGTCCTGGGGTCCCCTTGAGGCCTCCAAGGGCCGTCTCTTGGGGGTCCCTTGGGTCGTCTTGGGGCCTACTCGAGATGCATTGGGGCTGTTTTGGGGCCCTCCTGGCTCTCTTGGGGGCTTCTTGCGTTGTCTTGGGGCCATCTTCGATGCCTCTGTGGCTGTCTTGGGGCCCAAGAAGGCGAGACCGCTAAGATCAGTCAACAATCTAAGTATCATCAACGTATTTTCCCTCGAGAGGCCCTCTTGGGGGTCCTCTTGAAGCCGACTCGGGCCGCCTTGAGGGCCTCTCGGGTCGTCTTGAGGGCCTCTTGGGCCAAGTTGGAGCCATGGGTCAGATCTGTGTCGAGGGCCTCTTCCACCCTCAGGCCCAAGAAGCCCAAGTCATTCATAGTCTGCAGGCTTTTGTACGTTTCTGAGCCCAATAACGCCACCCTCGTTCTGCGGATGTGTGTGTGTGTGTGTGTGTGAGGGGGTGGGGCGGGGTAAGGGGATCTTATACGGAGCAATACAATATGCATGGACTTGTGCTCTTGAACGTACGGAGTAACTAGCACTGCAGTATTTCCCCAGTGCCCTCAGGGCGCACGTCGCTTCTAGATGTGGATTTAGCAGGCTGACGCCACATTCGTCAAGCTGTTCATTTTGTTTTGGGTTGCGATTTGCCCGCCCTCTAGGCGTTGATTACAGAACATGCGATGGGCCAGGGTCTGATAAGGACGATGATGATGCTGCTGCTGATGATGACGAGGATGATGATGATGCTGCTGTTGAGGATGAGGAAGCTGATGCTCCTGATGTTGAGGATAATGCTGATGCTGGCGATGATGGCGATGACGATGCTGATGCTAATGCTGATGCTGCGGCTGATAATGAAGACGATGATATTGCTGACAATGACGCGGCTGGTGGTATGACAATGGCGGTGTTGATGATATTGATGATGATGCTGATGGTGATGACGATGATGACGATGATGATGATGATGATGCTGATGATGATGATGATGATGATGATGATACTCATGACGATGCTGATGCTGATTCTGATGATGATGATGATGATGATGATGAGGATCAGGAGGATGATAAGGATGAGGACGTTGATGATGATGATAATGCGGATGAGGATGAGGATTCTGATGACGCTGATGCTATTGATGATGGTGATGCTGATGTTGCTGCTACTGCTGCTGCTGATGATGACGATGCTGATGATACTAATGATGAGCTGCTGCTGTTGATGCTGCGGATTGTGATGCTGCTTATGATGATGCTGATGATGATGAGGATGATGAGGTTGCTGCTGGGGCTACTCCTGATGCTGGGACGGGGACGCAGACGAGGACGACGACGACGACGACGACGACGACGACGACGACGATGATGATGATGATGATGATGATGATGATGATGATGATGATGATGATGATGATGGCGATGATGATGATGATGATGATGATGATGATGCTGGTGATGATGACAAGTGTGCTGATACTGTTGATGATAATGATGCTGACGATATTGCTGATGATGATGATGCTGTTTATGACGCTGATGATGATGGTGGCGCTGACGGTGACGATGGCGATGTCACTGGCGATAACGATTACGATTGTTGTTATGATGATGATGTTGTTGTTGTTGGTGTTGATGTCGATGTTGATGCCGATGATGCTGATTGTGATGATGCTGATGATGTGGACGACAATGATGATGGTAATGATGATGGTGACGATCATAATGCTGATTATGATGCTCATGCTAATACTGCTGCTGCTGCTGATGATGCTGATGATGTGGACGACGATGATGATGGTAATGGTGATGGCGACGATCATAATGCTGATTATGATGCTCATGCTAATACTGCTGCTGCTGCTGATGATGCTGATTATGATGATGCTGATTGTGACTATGATGATGATGATGCTGATGCTGATGCTGATGCTGATGATGATGATGATGATGATGATGATGATGATGATGATGATGATGATGATAATGATGCCGATGATCATGTTGCGATCATTTTCAGGAGGAGTAGAAGGAGGATGCAGATGCGAGGGAGGATAAGGACTAGGGGCATGATGATGATGCTGATGCTGATGATGATGATGCTGCTGCTGCTGATGATGATGATGATGATGATGATGATGATGATGCTGATGGTGATGATTATTCTGATGATGCTGATGATGATGACGACGATGACGATGACAATGATCATGTCAATGACGACGGCAACGATGATAATGATGATGATTAGGAGAGGCCAAGGGGGAGAGATGGAGGAGTTTGAGGGGAAGGTTCTGCAGCATCTCCTGGGGCGTCCCGTGGCTCTCTTGTGTCTTTCTCTTGGGCTCTCTGGAGGCTCTCGGCTGGGTTGCTTTGCCGTCCTCGGTCGTCTGGTGGGCCTCAGGGCGCCTTGGGTGGGGGCCCTCTCAGGCTGCCTCGGAAGCTGTTTGTGCTCGCTTGGGCCATATCGAGGCTCTGAGAACCACCCCAGGGAGGCTATCTTGAGCGGAAAAGCCAGGGACGCATACAACACTGAACAGATAGGCTGCTATTGGCCTGTGATCTCTCTTGGTGCTAGTCGCGCGCTCTCTGGAGCCTCTGGGGGCATCTTCGGCTGTGCTGGAGGCTCCTGGGGCTGCCCTGGCAGCCTCCAGTGCGCGGTCCTTTTGGGCCACCCGGGCCCGTCTGCTGGGTTCCGGCCTCCCTCGGAGAAGCTCAGGCCCCGCCTGTATTAGCCCGTCTACGGCAGGATCTCGTCGTGTCGACGCGGCGGCGACCCCAGCGCGAGCGTTCAGGGTTCAGTATCGTTCAACCGACCCCATCTCCCCATCCCCATCCCCATTCAGACCCCCACCATCCCACCACCCCAGTTGGGGATATAGCCTTCGAAACCCGACGGAAACAGCCTATGTCCCCATCGAGGGGGGTAAATCGGCCAGTGGTGCCCAGGGCACGCCCATGGGGATATGGGTCGGTTAAGCGAGGATCACGCGGTTGGACGCCGGCGATCTCGAATCGGTCGATATCGAACGATCCGCACTGTCGGAATGCCGCGATCGCTCCAGGCTGAACACTCTGCGCGGGGGCTGAGACCACCGTGCGGGTCGTCACGGCACGAGTCAGCCGTACGGTCTTTTTCAAATATGTGGTTTGGGATTCCGTAGGAGGTCCTTCGGGGGGAAGATTGTTCCACGCGCCCAGTGCCCCCGACGAGGTCGGCGGATTTTGCTCTGTTGTGTAAGTCTAGGGTGGAGCCTAGTCGTTCGCTAGAGTTTAAACTTCTGTAGTTTTTGAGTTGTCCCTTTTGAATCGTGTATGGATGTTTCACCTGTCTGCGCTGCATTTTCCGCTTGCTCTCGGCACTGTTGGCCCAACCCTCTTCGGTCTTTCCACGGACTACTGTCCGCGGCCTCCACGGCGCCTATGGTTCCCAGCGTTCCCGCACTACTGTCTGCACGCTATCATCATCAGCGTCGGGATCAGTACCGTAGCGTCGTCATCGACATCGTCATCGTCGATGTCTTCCCAGTCGAAGGCCAATATGTGGTGGAAAAGGTACCGCTCTCCATCGGCGTAGCCGTGAGAGACTTTTGGGACGGATGTACGTGGTTCAACTCACCGATCGCGTTCCACTGCTCGCAAAGTGCCTGCTCGCAAGCGTCCGAAAACACTTATGTCTGCTTTGATGTAATGGATTCTAGAATCGTAGATCCCCCGCGGCGGATCCAGGCCATTTGCGAGTAGTTCTTTTGCGAGTCGTGGATCGCGCTCGTCTATCAATGCTCTGAGGCGAGTTTGTTTTGTATCGTGTCTCTGACGCGCGCGATCGAGGGGCGAAGGCGAGAGCCACTTCTCGAGAACGAGCCGCCTCTGCGCCTGTCTACGAGTTGGAGACTCTATGACGACTGTGTGCGGCGCCAGGGCAGGAGCGAGATCGTGCGCCTGACTTGCACACGTCGTCTGTGCGGCTGATGGGAAATGCGGTCATTCACAAGGCTTTACGCCTCTCCGCCGACCCCTGGAAGAGGGAACCCGTCCACGGGTGAGGGCTTTGGGGGCTTCGTGGGGACTTTTTGCGGCCTCGCTTCGGCCTTTTGGGGGCCTTTTCGGGCCTCGATTTCTGTTTCTCTGTTAGCGCCTGCTGATCGTCTCGGGGGTCCTCTTTGGGCGGATGGCTCGGACTGCTAGTTCGCGATGCTTCCCTTGGGTTTCTCGTGGGGCACTGTTGGTGCCCTCTTGGGCGCCTCTTGTGCCGTCTTGGGAACCTCTTGGACTGCCTTACTTTTGAGGGTGCGTCCCAGGGTGGGGACGCATGCTTGCCTGATTCCGCTGCTGTTTCGGCCCAGAGCAGCGCCGCCCTATCTGCCTGCATTGGCGTTGCTGCAATTGCACGATGTGAGGTAGTGGGGGATAAAAGTATGATTTTTTTTGCCCCTCCATCACCATGCTGTTCCACCGTGCACAATCACCGTCTACACAGTCATGGCTTCGAACATCGTTTTCAAACTTGGTAGCGGGGCTGCTGCAGCCGCGGCAACCCAGCTCACCTTCGCCCGAACGTGCAGCACGCACATGGGTTTCCACCTGCGGGGCGACTGCAAGTGCAACGTGGTCAACAACGAGTTCGATCCTTTTCGCGGGCCCCGACACCAGTGCTACCACCG